AGCTCAGTGGAAGTCTAGGAAAAATAAGTCTGATGAGGAGATCTAAGTCTACCGCTTAGACTTTGTTGCTTTACCATTTTTCCTAATAAAATACATACACTTTGTTCATTGATGGTAGGTGGAAAAAAGTTCAGAGTCACCGCACTAATCCACAAATTCATACATAAATTTACAAATCCAATGCCAACTTAAAAGAATTTTGACGGGAAAAAATTCAAAGGACACTTTTCACAACCTTCAGAAATGTTCAGCCAAGGATCAAAACCTTCATTACCTATGCTCGAGGTAGGTTATTTATAGTGCAATTTTTTCTAAGATACCATAGTGTCGTTTAGTCTAGTACAGGATGGGCCAAATAAGACCTACCAATGTTAAACACGTATAACTTCTTTATTTTTTAATATCATTGTTATTTTCTTTCTGCATGTTATAGTTAATCCCTTAGAAATCATAATGGATACTTACAGCAATACCACCAACAACGACTACAATACGCTATTCGTTTTACACAATTAGCTACACAAATTGATTTTTTAGGTAATGTTTTGATGTCGGATGAAGCGCATTTCCAAGCAAAACTGTAGATTGTGGGGCTCTATCAATCCAAGGGTAACATACCAGCACCGGTTACACCCATCCAGATGCACTGGTTAGTGCGGTGTTATGGCCGAACAAGTTATCATCCCATATTTCTTCGAGAATTTGGATAAAATGCCAGAAACGATTTCTGGGGCTTTTTACAGAACAATGATTGACAACGTTTTGCGGCCATCGGCAGAGCAGCATCCTAATTTGTGGTTACAACAAGATGGAGCGACTAGGCACACTGTTAGGCAAACAATGGAGCTGCTGCGTGAAATTGGTAGGTCTTATTTGGCCCACCCTGTGTATGTGGAAAACGCTTTAGAGGACCTCTGAGTGCCTACGCCAAGGCTTGATCAGAAGACTTTAAAGAGTTTACTCAAGCAGTATAGGAAAAATTTACCAGTGACCAAATTTTAAGTTATTCAGTAATTATTGACCAGATTTAATTAGATTGTTGGCTATTTACACAATAATTTCGAGCATATTTATTTGTTGTTTTGTACCACCATGTAGTTGTTTTGGATGTAGTTGTCTTTCTGAAATGAGACTGGGACTGTACAATATTTTCAGCCTTTCAAAGAACTGCTTTTACTGTTAGACCACAGCTTATGCGCAAAATTGGAGTAAATAGATGATATTTATGGCCATTGTATTCGATCTTTGATAAACCAGGTGATATTTAAACGAACATAAATCCTCAGAAACTCAATAAATGTGGAAATTTTTTCACTAGTAGCAACAACATACGAAACATGTTCAAACTTTGTGGGAAAATTCTAGCTTTGTAGAAAACAATGTCAATGGCCAATGGAGAAGAATCTATCAAATGGGAGCTAAATGCATGCAGGACAAATTGTCGAAAGTTTACTCCTTTCAAAGAACACTTCCTTTTTTCCAGGAATTTTCATTCTAGACTGATAAAAAAGTTTAGTACATTGTCTTTGAATTATGTACTTATTTGATTCCTACACTAGAAAAATATATTTTTTGTTTCAAAATATTTCATAAAATCAAATAATTGTGCTCTGGTATGAATATGTAAATATTTATGATGTGACAGAGATGATTAAATTTAGTAAGAATACATACAGAACACGCAAGGATAACAAAACCAAAAATGTATCCTTCCAATTTTACATAAACATTTTTTAAAGCTGCACGAGTTAGAAAAACACTCAAGTTTAAATAAAATGTAATAGTAATTAAAAATAAACGAGAAAAGAAACATACCTTTAATATGATTAGCATTTTCATTAGATCTCTTTAGCTTTTATTTTGAACTCAAAAACTCGCCAACGGACATTTACCGATATGAAAATTTAATAAAACATAAACAGAAATTAAAGTAAGAATAGTGAAATATATTTTTATATAAAATATTTATAAAAGCATACAACGTTGTAAATTAATAATAAAAATAAACAGTTTAGGGTAGATTTACTATAAAATAAGATTAACATAAAAAAATTAAGGATTCTTTCTAACACTAAATAAAGAACGTTTTTGAATAACATATACGACTTGACTCACAGGTTCGATCGATTTGATTTTCATTATTTTCCTTTTGTTAGCTTTTGGAGTATAACAAGCACTCGGTCCAAACGAAATAAGTAATCAAGTCTTCCTCAACAGCCAGTGCTCGGACTATACCACAATTGAGGTCATGAGAGCAGAAGTGGCCTAACCCACAATATTTTTTGTAGTTATCTTCTTAAAATAGTTTCAAATGTGATAAATTTTAAAATAAAATACGCTTATTCCTTAATTTGGTGTTACGTTATGTATCTCTGTATCTTAAAATTAAAGAATAAGCAACTTTCATTTTAAAATTAGGTAAATTTGATACTGTTTTAAGTAGGGAAGCACACAAAACAATTTTGGGGGTAGGCCATTTCTGTTCTCATGGCCTCAATTGTGAAAGAGATTCCGCTTTTTTACATTTCTACTACGTCTAACACGTGCTCATTCTTTCATCCCTTACTTTCTGTTTATTTTATGCGATTGCACAATTTTGGTGTCAAATATTGGACAGGTAGTAGCAGTAGAGCCGCCCATTTCTTTTTTTTTTTAATTACTTGGTCACTAAAATATCAAATCTTTTTGATTTCTTTAAAAAAAAAAAAAACATTTAAATTGTCAAATTCTTTATTCATGTTAAATCTAACTCAGGAGCCCAAACGCTGATTACAGGGCCTTGTAAATAAAGGATGAATCGATGCCTCTGTATGTAGACAAATTTACCAAGAGATAAAGTTGCAGCAATTTTTATTTATATACATACATATATATTTTTTTATTGTATTATTTAAATTTCTGTGTGTATTTCACATGGCACACTCTGGTTAAAAAAAAAAAATCTGAATAACTTTTTGGCGCTTTAGAGACCTGAAGCAACATCAAAATACGCGTAAATGTTGTTTTTGCTCTAATACCTGTATAATGTGCCTTGATAAACATCTCCGAACTCCTTAAGAAGTTTCGCTTCAAAAACTTTAGCGTCCGAACACTGTTAGCAGCAACTGATTTGAATTGTTTTGCCGAAGAAAAACTCCTCATTGACAGCATCGGCATTCTATGAAATAAACCTTTGCTGTGCCTAAAGGCTGAGTCGGTGTACGAGATCCCTTAGATCTGTTATGGCTTCTGCCAAGTCAATCGTCGGATGGGTAGCAGTGCGTTCTTATAATCGGTAAGTCTCGAGTTCGATGTCCGGCGTACGAAACAACCAAATGACAGAAAAAGTGTTATCTGGAAAAGTATTGCTGTAGGACGAAAAACCCAAAACCACTCAGTCATAGTTGCCTATTGTACTCAAGGCATAGAGAAAGGATTAAAGGTAGTTGTAGGTGACAACAGGTGAGCGTGGGAAACCATTACTCCCCTGCAAATTTAGCAGAACTTTTTTTTGAATATTAGTAGTTGGTAAAGAAAAGGATCTAGCTTATCCATTCACAAAACATTTGCCCTAATAATGCAGCATTTGAGTCCAACTGAGGGCGGGTATATAAAATGCTCTGCACTACCCTCGTCCTCCAAAAATTATGTATACCAGGGTCCCATGGATTTTTCCCGGCCCCATCATAGCCCGATACCCACATGAGTTCAAGCTCGTTCTATTTCGCAATGGAGTTCAGACTCCACTTATATTCCTGGGCTATGCTAGAAGAAAAACTGTTGCCAAAGCTTTTAGGGCAGATTGGCTGCCAATGCAGCTTGTAATTTTATGTACGCGCCAACTTTCACCAATTATCCCAGCCGCTCCAGTTTCATATTCAGTCTTCGAGCCGGTGGCAGGGAAAGTAGTATCCAAGGGAGTGTCTGCATTTCTCCATAGCATTTTTGTTTTTGTAAAAAAAAGTTATTGCTTTTAAAACTTTCTAAACAACTCTGTTTTCTGCCTCCGGAATTCCGAACGAGGTGACAGACTCCATCATTTTTTTAAACTAAATTTGGGAGTGTGGTAATCATTCGAACGAACCCGTGAGTTTATGCGTAATGATTAAACAAAATAGAAATCAAAATAATAACAATTAAAACTTAACTGCTTCTCGGTTCAAGCATTTCTGGCTACATACTGTGAGCATTTATTGGACAAAGTACGAATTATGATATAATTTTGACTTGCGCATGTGTGGCGAAATGGTTCAGTCAATTTGCTTAAACACTTAAATGATTATAATATTAAAATAAAATATTGTATTTTAAACTTACTTTGTATTTTCTATTTTTTCTAGGCTTTTTACGCTACACTGATTCGAATGTTGTTTGAAAATTTTTTTGTAATTGTATAAATAATATCGAAGAAAAGTCGATTAATGAAGTACAGCATAAATTACAGAAATTCAAGAAGAATATAAATAACAGTATTCCCTTAAACTGGAAAAGCCTCACATTCCTCGGAACTACGATTGAACTATCGAAATTGCTATAGGAAATACTTACGAATTTCGAGTCTTAAAGTTTTTCGAGTTTAAAGGAATCACCCAAATAAGTAATTGAGAACAAATGCATTTCTTCTTTCAATTAATTATGCAAAAAGAAAACACGCTTATTTTGAAAAGATATACAAAATTTCGTTAAGAGTAAAGCTAGCATGCCATTCTTTGTTTTTGTTCCAAGGCTGTTACTGATACAATTACCCAGCCAACGACTAAATATAAATATCATATATTAGTTATTTTAATTATTTAACTATGTTATGGATATTAGCTCAATTTAACAGTAATATTCGTCATAAATTATTTACTTATATTCAAATTCGTAACTTATTGCTAAAAAGCGCTACATAACTTTAATAAATTAACAAAACTAAAGAGAAGTAAATAAAAATATTTCTTATAAATTCCTTTGAAGCAAAATCGAATTATTTTGTTGGCAAATTAGAGCGAGCGATGAATGAATGTTTCTCAACGTACCTTCATGATTTTGCACTGGGCCACTCCAGTTACGGTCAATGGCACACCCTGAGCCGTTTCAACATTCTCGCACATTGGATTGAGCGTCATCACCTCCAGCGAAAGGCGCTGCACATCGGTCACCAGCCACCAAGCCCATGCCCAACCACCAACAATGGTGCGCTTTTTGGTAGAACCACAGCAACCACCTGCAAAGAATGGAAGAATGAAAGAGTTGTTATTTATGTAATATAAGTTTAGGGCTTGTTGTTTAAGGCCTCAACCAAACTATGCTACAACAATGGCAAGCGTGCCTGATAGTCAGACTCTAAAATAAGAATTCGAAGATAATAATAACAATATTAATAGATTGGCGCTTCCAAAACATGCTAAGCATACATCAAAATTTAGCGAATCGTTTTTTTTAAGCAGATTTTAACCTCTTAACTTGCACCGTAAATTATTTTGAAGAATTTCCTTAAAAATGGCAGAAGATTTAAATGATCTACAATAATGTTAAGCAGGTAATTTTACTATTTACCGAAGATTAAAAAATTTGATGCCTAAACGTTAGTACACTGGTTCGAAATTTGGGAGAGTGTGAGGGCCGCTTAAGAGAAAACAAATGTTGTCGGTTAAAGTGGTGTTATTTCAGCATGATCTATACACTTTTGTACGCAGTGAAGTCGGTAGATAAAGACATGGTCTTCCAATGCGTTAACAGCTTCTTTTGGAGATGAAAGCCCTTGTCCGCGAAGTTTACGTACGATTTACCAGAACAAAAACTAACCCATATCAATTCGATGTTAAAAAATCATTTGTGTGACTGGATGTGTAAAAGCTTGCATTGGCTTGATGAAAGACGATTTGTCGTTTTTCCATCATCCGCCCAAGACGGTTAACATTATTATTATGGGGTATATTCACCGTGACCTCTAAAGTGATCTATTGCGCGTGACCCTCCGCCCTTTATCGGAACGCGGTTGATGTAGCATAGCTCTTACAATGGCGTTTTGCGCCATAGAAGGTCGTCTCTGACTAAAATTAAGTAGTTTCGTTGAAGCTTATTTTGAAGCACAGATAAATTCTTTGGCTTGTCTCTGCCTTGGGCATTCCATCCAGAGCCTGTTGAAAAAGTTTTCCACCCAGTTATTTATGATCCCCTTTTTGTGTGATTTGGTGAGCCTACAAAAGGGGTCTGAACCATGAAATACCGTGGTGGCCTGGTTTCGCTAGGCACGCAGCCTGCTATCCCTGCCTTCTATCATGTCCCTCATACCACGGAACCCATCCTAATATAACTGTATTCTTGGCTCCGAGTTTAGGGCATTAGGGCAGCCTGACTGTCCGAATGCAGATCTATTTCGAAGATGTGCCTTTTCTAAGCCATGAATCTCCGCTTGAAAGACAGTGGGTTAGCTACCCATTGTTATAGATTTTTTGAAGTTCGGCTCAAATATGCCAGCCTTACTTCTACCATCATCAAGTTTGGATCGATCTGTGTACCAAACCTCCTCATTATGATTGGTGTATGGGCTTCCTGCATTCTAGAGAGCTCGAGAGCTAAAAATTTCGTAGAAATTACTAGTTTTGCAACTACTGCATCGCGCATTTGCAATATGGGGTTATTAGGAAATTTCATTAGGACCTTCATGCGATACGGCATATTTTCGATATTCAGATCGGAGTTGTTTCGGATTCTCAGGGCCGCGGTAGTCGCCTCCTTTTCTATTAATCCTGCTTTGATAACCCTACTGATGAGCAGATAACCATACGTCTGTGAGACGTATCATCGTTTTCTTGGCTCAACTTTATGATAATAACGATTTTTTGGAATATTGTTTTCAAGTCTTTAAATATCAGAACGAAAAATGACACTGAAGATGGCACAACGCCGAAACCGGTTTGTCTGCAAACCAAACTTGACAAGGGATGACGGAAATTCGTTCCAAAATAAATCATCTTTAAATATCTATTTATTACTTAAATGCATTTTATTTAGAAATATTCTTCATTTAAAATGGAAACCCCACAGCTTTCAATCTTCATTTCCAGAAATAGAGAGCGAGGAGTTTAAAAAGAATACGTCTCGCAGACGTAGGTTATCAAAGCAGGGTTAAAATATGAAAGGGAGGTATGCCAACCACTGCGCTGAGGGCAACAGCAGGACAGGTCTTCATCGGTCCAGTTAAGCCAATGCAAATCATTCGGCGCAATTTACTTCGTTTTGTGCTTGTGCTATCGGATTTACGACAGTATTAAATGACCAAGAGGTCTTTTGGGAGTTAGGCCCCATGTTCTACCAAACAGTCGTAAAAAGGCAAATAAAGCCTTCATCGTCTTGTTGATAGCAGCATCCAAATGTGCGTCCCGGTTGAGTGTTTTATCGAGTTACCCCCCGGTACATATTTTGCCTCACTGGAAAATTCTATTTCTCTGCCGCCCAAGTAATTTTAGTCATAGAAAACTTTCTTTTTCGGGTAAATGGTACAATAATAGGTTTTCTAGGATTAATACTTAGTCCTTTATTTTCACACCATTTCTGTGTGATACGTAGGGATTTTTGCATGCGATTGATAGTGGTTTCGCCATGCAGCCCTGTCATGCAGATTACTAGATCTCCGCGAAGCCTTGAGTTTCAAATCCTTGACCGTTCTGCGTGACCGTAAAAATAGTCAATAAAAAGTGTGAGAAAGAGTCCACCACCTTGAGGGCAACGCCTTAAGGCTGCTATTGATTCAGCCGTGCTTCCTACCCTGCTGGAAAGGACAAGTTTGTAGCAAACTATTAACTAACTAGCAGTCCACTAGTGGTAACTATTGATTAACTATTTCCTTTGGCCGTAATTAATTTCTTTTGAAGGGCGATGACCGCAAACTAGTGATCCCTGGTTTCCTCTGCATTAGATGTCAACTAAGTTGTAGCTAACTAGTTTTGCACATAAACTATATATATATATATAGATTGGCGCTTACACATTGGCGCAGAAAAAAAGAGTATTGAAAGTATTCTTTATAGGATGTTTAAACTCCCGATAACGTCTGCATGACTCCTGCACGACCTTATAACTAATTTAAAGTTAGTTTTGTCATGTTAGAAGTTAGTTATTTATCGAAATCCCGCAAAAAAAAAAATTGGTTAATTTTTTCTGCAGGGTAAATACATGCTGATTTTATGTGTTCTTAGCATTGATAGAACCCATTTATTTATTACTAGCTGACCCGGCGAACTTCGTTCAGCCCAAAATTTGTTTTTTTTTATTGAAACATTTGGTACAACGTTTTCACCAAAATCCACGTTCAAGTTTGGTCTTGTGGTTTTTAGAAAGCATATTCTCCATCAGAGCTGGGTCGTAATGATTCCTATAGGAATTAAATTACTCCCAATTACAGATTACAAGGAATTGTAATTAGGAATCAATTCCTTCAGTCCACAGCAAAGTAATCGATTACTTTCTCAATTCCTTGGAGTAATTTCAAATGTAATTGTTTTTTTTTTTAATTCCATTACAAGGAATTTCATATTGTAATTGGAATAAATTACGTGCTAGTAATGTAATTTTTTTTTCCAATTCCTTTGAAAGGAATTGAAAATGTAATTGATTTTTTTCAATTCCTTTACCTGGAATTGCAAGAGTACTTTCAGAGTTTTTTCAATTACTCAAAGGAATTGTAAAAGTAATCGAGAAACTGAAAGTTCATTCACGAATTTACAATGTGGAATTTTTGTTGTGGCCAAAGATTAAAATCGAAAGCACACATTGGAAATCTTCTATGTATATCTATATATATAAAAATTTTATGTTCGTATGTCACGGTCATCAAAACTCGAGAACGGCTGAACCGATTTGAATAATAATTATATTTTTTTTATTGTTCGGTATAGTACCAAAACCAATGATATCGCAAAAATTTGGAGGGTTGCCACCTATTTTAAAATTTGTAAACCCAATTATATTGATAAAATTAGTGAATTATTACAATATGGGTATTAAGTTAAAGAGGTTTAAGAAAGATAACTGTTGGAAGTATTTTTGACGAGGGTTGCCACCTATTTGAAAATTTTAACTCAGTCAAATTGATAAAATAAAAGAAATATTGCCATGTGGGTGTCAAACTAAAGAGTTTTAAGAAGGCTTAATGCCGAAAATATGTTTGAGGAGATTGCCATCTGTTTGAAAATTTAACTAAATTACATTGATAAAATAAATAAAATATTACAATGTGGGTATCAAATTAAAGAGGTTTAAGAAAGATAACTGTTGGAAATATTTTTGAGAGGGGCTGCCACCTATTTGGAAATTGTAACTCAGTTAAATTGATACAGTAAATGAAATGTTGACATGTGGGTGTCAAACTAAAGAGTTTCAAAAAGGCTTACAGTCTACCATGAACACTTCCAGGGATATGCAATATGAAAAGTTCGGTTTATATGGGAGGTGCCACGCCCCATTCTCCAATCATGCAAATTTTTCTCCATGAGTATGAAATTGATCTTATATATGTATGTATCCCCACACCCAGATCTAGTCCTCTACCACAAATATATGCAGATTGAAAAATTCGGTTTGTATGAGAGGTGCCACGCCCCCTTTCTATATCGAAACTTTTTTTTAGCCTATAACCATCCTTGGAAAGTCTGCAGTAGATTCCGAAATTTAAAAAAAGTTGGCACGGCCTTTCTCGAGCTTTGCGAACAGAAAAAAACGGCTTTCAAAATATATATTAGTTAGTATAGACTAACCAATATCTGCTTGTTTTGCGGCTTAAAACATTACTAACGATGAAAATCGCTGGATAAATAAAGTTTGATTTTTTTCATTCGCAATGAAAACTTAAAATGAAAATAACTTAACTGAATGACCTTATCTAAAAAAAAGGTATACAGATCCGTAACATACTACTTAAAATTAATTTTACGTCTCTCGGCGTTTTTTTGTGTAATTTTAGCGTCGTTACAGTGTTATCATCAAAATTTAGCCATAGCAATGCAATTTGTTTATAAAACTTTTAGGAGGTATAATCTCCAGTCCGGCAGGGCTCGTAATTCACGCGGACTCTATCCTCATTTGTAACGCAGGATACCAGTAAGAGTACTTCAAAGGCCCCAGAACGCACGCCATTTTGGGTAGAACTAAGGGTACCATAATATACAGAATTAAGTCAGTGAATTTTTATAGATACGCAGGGATTAGTCTAAGAGAACAGCA